TAATAATAAATAATTATATTATAATATATAATAATAATAATAATAATAATAATAATAATAATAATAATAATAATAATAATAATAATAATAATAATAATAATAATAATAATAATAATAATAATAATAATTCCTTTATATTCTGCTAGCAGTAAAATACCAATCAGACACCTCTTTAATAATCATCATTGCCTATCAGATCAGTGCGCCTGTCATCAGTGAGTGCGCCTGAATGTGTAACAGCGAGCAAGAGTTCTGAGTTCCCTAAAATTGATGTCACATCTTGTGAAGTCAGAGGTCACCAGGGTTGGTCATACTTACTTCTCCACGTCCTCCAGTAAGGTATCTCCCTTAATTACCTCTTCATTCTCTCCCTGGAGAGGGAGAGGGAGACTTCCTGCTTCCTCAGGCTTAGTGTCTCCACTTTCTTCCGGTCTAGTCTCGTTATGGTTGAGAGATATCTCCTGGACTTCAGCAGGAGCGGGAGAGATGTCAGTTCGATTCCTCGAAGCCCCAAGACGCCGTACTGATAACAGAGATTTTCTACGGTAACCGTCTCGCTGTTGAGGTTCGCCAGGTAGCGAAGGTTTAGATGTAGCGAATGATCGGCGAGGAAGAGGTCGATATCTTCTGCGTGGTAACCCACGGTAAGGGGTGTTTGGTGTGGGTTCTGCGACTGGTTCCACCTCAAGAAGGGTTGGTGCTTCAGTGGTGGTAGTCTGAACTGGCGTAGGTGTGGTGGTAGTTGTTGTAGGGGTGTCAGTGGTGGTAGTAGGGTTAGTGGTGGTGGTGTAGACTACTGTGGTGGTTGTCACAGCATTTGGAATGCTCACCTTTGCAGGTTTTTCCTCGGTTACCGGAGACTTTATGGTAATGGTCGGCCAGATCTTACTTCTGGAGGAGAGTGAGTTATCCAGCGCTGCCTCTTGTACACCCTCGCTAGTTCTTCTCACTGGCCGAGGATGTTCAACACTGTTACTGCTACCAGAGTCACTTTTCCCGATGGTTGAGGCCGTCAACTCACCCCTCGGTGAGTGGGACCCGAAGGAAACCCGAACGGACTGTCCAGGTGCCGAGTACTCGAACCCAGACCCATTGTTACTAAAGGAACGGGAGCTACGTACAGCATCTGATGCCGATGGAACGCGGCGAGAAGGTCTGAAGTGATTCCTAGCACTGCTTTTCCACTGAGAAGCTGAGGTGTTGGAAGCTGAGCTAAGCGTCTGAGAGGAACTCAAGCTTGAAGCATTGTTAGCTGAGGCAACGCTTGTGTTACTTGCTGCTTCCTCAGCCACAGAAAAGCTGCAAATATGATAGAATAGCGTCAACAGCCTACTGAGATGTGTGTGTGTGTGTAGGCATGCAAAATCTACAACTACTCATGCAGGGAACAATGTTACCACCCTCCAGGCCTACCCATACAGGGAACAATGGTACTATCCTCTAGGCCTACCCATGCAGGGAACAATGGTACCACCCTCCAGGCCTACCCATGCAGGGAACAATGTTACCACCCTCCAGGCCTACCCATGCAGGGAACAATGGTACCACCCTCCAGGCCTACCCATGCAGGGAACAATGGTACCACCCTCCAGGCCTACCCATGCAGGGAACAATGCGGAGAAAACACTAACATTACAAAACAAGCTTACTGAGACAACGTTTCGCTCTATGTAGAGCTCTATCACCACCTGTTGAAGCTGTAGCAGAGCTCTATCTAGACCTTCGTGTAGAACTTTACTGTGTAGCAGCTCTACACAGAGCGAAACATTGGCTCTAACAGGTTTCTAAGCGGTTTTATTTTTTCAATATAATCTAAAGCGGTTTCTAAATTCATTCGTGGTTTCTAAGCGTCTTCCAAGTGGTTTTAAGTGACTCGTGAGAGGTTCTAAGTGGTCTCTGAGCTGTTTAAGCGGTTTCTAAGCACTTTCTAGGTGAAAAACAATGCAGTGTCTAGACTACAACACTAGAATATACACTAGAAGAGCCTAAAATACGTACCTTAGAAATATAGATATACACATAGCACTGCTATAGGCCTATATAGCACTGCTAGATATAGCCTGTATATCACTGTTGGATACAGGCCTATAAAACATTGCTAGTTATAGGCCTATAAAGCACTGCTAGATATAGGCCTATAAAGCACTGCTAGATACAGGCCTATAAAGCATTGCTAGTTATAGGCCTATGTAGCACTGCTAGATATAGGCTTATTTAGCGCTGCTATATAGGCCTAAAGTCTATATATTTTAGAGCAGCTGCAATAGAGGTAATGGAAGCGTTTTCAAGACAGAGCTCTGGGGTGGAACTTTAGAGTAAGAAGAGCCAGCATGGAGCCCATAAAAGATCAAGTGGAAAAAATGCAAAGGTTTGCAACGTAACTAGTCCAGCAGGTAAGCGAGATGAGCAAAAGGAATTAAACTTAACCTTCATGGGTTTTTAAGATAAAGTGACACGTGACGTGTTGCCTGATATATATAGTGGCTTAATTAAGCAGTGTGTGGGGCAACGTATCATTATTTATTCAATATTAAAAAATGCGGTTTAAAATTAATCGGGTTTCTAAAAGCGTTTCAAGTGGTTTAAAAGGACTCTGAGAGGGTTCTAAAGGGTCTAGAGAGGGTTTAAAGCGGTTTCTAAGCACTTTAGTAAAAACAATGCAGGGTTAGACTAAAGCAGTAGAAATAGCATTAGAAAGCTAAAATACGTACCTTAGAAATAGGTTACACAAAGCATTAGCTATAGGTTATATAAGCACGCTAGATATAGCTTAAACATGTTGGATAAGGCCATATAAAAGATTCTACTTAATAGCCTATAAACACTGTTAGATTAGGACCTATAAGAGCATGCGTAGATGACAGGCCAAACTCATGGCATTACTGAGATTATAGTTCCTATGTAGCCTGCAATTAGTTATTTAGCAGCTCATATAGGCCTCAAGTCTATATATTTTCTGCAGCTGCAAGAGTAATGGAGCTCGTCTTTCAAGACAGAGCTCTGGGTCGAGACTTCTGCATCAGAATCGCACCAGATGGAGCCCATAAGTTCAAGTGGAAAAATGCAGATTTGCACTCAGTACTTCCACGTAAGTCCCGAATGTAGCAAAAGGAATTAAACTTGACCTTCATGGGTCTTTAAGATCAAGTACCGTGACTAGTTGCCTGATCTACAGGCTTATTAAGCCAGTGATGTCGCACTGTATCCATCTAAGCCCATCACTCCAGGGATTACGAACAGATCTGGAAAAGTATGTAGAACAAGGTTGTACAAGGTTTCGATCAGGATTAAAGGTGTTAGAAAGGGTTTCGAAAAGGGGTTAGAAAAGGATTCTGAAGAAGGGGTTTAGAAAGGGATTGAAAAGGATTGGAAAAGGGATTCGAAAAGGATTAGATAAAGGGATTACACTAATGCCCTACCGTACTCCTTAGAATCGTGCAGAGTTCGACCCCACCCATCATCAGACGTGCCGAGTGAGCCCAGAGTTGCCAACACTCACTGGCATTACTGAGATAAATACTTCCTGCACTCCAGTACTTCCTGCACTCCAGTACTTCCTGCACTCCAGTACTTCCTGTACTCCAGTACTTCCTGCACTCCAGTACTTCCTGCACTCCAGTACTTCCTGTACTCCAGTACTTCCTGTACTCCAGTACTTCCTGTACTCCAGTACTTCCTGCACTCCAGTACTTCCTGCACTCCAGTACTTCCTGCACTCCAGTACTTCCTGCACTCCAGTACTTCCTGTACTCCAGTACTTCCTGCACTCCAGTACTTCCTGCACTCCAGTACTTCCTGCACTCCAGTACTTCCTGCACTCCAGTACTTCCTGCACTCCAGTACTTCCTGCACTCCAGTACTTCCTGTACTCCAGTACTTCCTGCACTCCAGTACTTCCTGCACTCCAGTACTTCCTGTACTCCAGTACTTCCTGCACTCCAGTACTTCCTGCACTCCAGTACTTCCTGCACTCCAGTACTTCCTGCACTCCAGTACTTCCTGCACTCCAGTACTTCCTGCACTCCAGTACTTCCTGTACTCCAGTACTTTCCTGCACTCCAGTACTTCCTGCACTCCAGTACTTCCTGCACTCCAGTACTTCCTGCACTCCAGTACTTCCTGCACTCCAGTACTTCCTGTACTCCAGTACTTCCTGCACTCCAGTACTTCCTGCACTCCAGTACTTCCTGCACTCCAGTACTTCCTGTCACTCCAGTACTTCCTGCACTCCAGTACTTCCTGTACTCCAGTACTTCCTGCACTCCAGTACTTCCTGCACTCCAGTACTTCCTGCACTCCAGTACTCTCGCTTCTAACTCTAACTTATTAGGAAAATGTCAAAATATTTCTATGTCAAAGTTTGTTAATGGAGATAGTTAGTATTGTTATGTATACAAAATATAGCTTAAATATAGATATAATACACACACACACACACACACACACACACACACACATCAACACACACACACACACACACAACACACCCCAACCACAACAGTACACATACACAACAATACCAAACACCAGGAGCTGTGACTCGACCCCTGTAACCACAACTAGGTGAGTACAAGGTGTTTCAAAATGATGGACCTAAACAAGCCAGGAAACGGGTAGTGTTTGAGCTCTTGCCCAGTGACTCTTAAACCTGACTGGCCTTGAGTTCAAACCCTCACCCGTTCTATTTTCACTCTATTTTACGTTCATTTCCTTCACGTTCTTACAGATAATAGTAATAATAGTAATTGTTATCATTATTATTAATATTAATTTTTTATTATTATTATTATTATTATATATTATTAAATTATTATTATTATTATTATTATATTATTATTATTATTAACATTATTATTATTATTATTATTATTTTATTATTAAATTATTATTATTATATTATTTTATTATATTATTTATATATATATATATTATTTTATTTTATCATATTATTAATATTATATAATTTATATATTAATATAAATATTCATAAAATATTTAAAAATATAAATTATTTATATAATATAAATAAATATTAAATTTATTAATATAAATTATTTATATAAATAAATTATTTTAGAGTAAAATAAGTAAAATAAACTTGTGCCAAATACAACTGTATTACCAAACTAATGTATTCTGGTAAATACATTTTCTTTTGAGAAATGCAACAGTAATTTACATTAACTTGTGAGAATTGGTCTTTCAATCCAGCAGCAACAGCCTGGTTGATCAGGCGGTCCTAGACCCGGCTCAGAGGCTTGAATAATCCTTGAGAAAGGTTGAAGGTATATCAAAGGCATGATAGAATGGAAGAAAACTGGTCTAGAAAGGTAGACAATGGTCTAGAATGATAGACAATGGTCTAGAATGGTAGACAATGGTCTAGAATGGTAGACAATGGTCTAGAATGGTAGACAATGGTCTAGAATGATAGACAATGGTCTAGAATGGTAGACAATGGTCTAGAATGGTAGACAATGGTCTAGAATGATTGACAATGGTCTAGAATGGAAGACAATGGTCTAGAATGGTAGACAATGGTCTAGAATGGAAGACAATGGTCTAGAATGGTAGACAATGGTCTAGAATGGTAGACAATGGTCTAGAATGGAAGACAATGGTCTAAGAATGGGAATGAAAATGGTCTAGAATGGTAGACAATGGTCTAGAATGGTAGACAATGGTCTAGAATGGAAGACAATGGTCTAGAATGGAAGACAATGGTCTACAATGGTAGACAATGGTCTAGAATGGAAGACAATGGTCTAGAATGGAAGACAATGGTCTAATGGAAGAAATGGTCTAGATAGAAGACAATGGTCTAGAATGGTAGACAATGGTCTAGAATGGTAGACAATGGTCTAGAATGGAAGACAATGGTCTAGAATAGTAGACAATGGTCTAGAATGGTAGACAATGGTCTAGAATGGAAGACAATGGTCTAGAATGGAAGACAATGGTCTAGAATGGAAGACAATGGTCTAGAATGGTAGACAATGGTCTAGAATGGTAGACAATGGTCTAGAATGGTAGACAATGGTCTAGAATGGAAGACAATGGTCTAGAATAGTAGACAATGGTCTACAATGGAAGACAATGGTCTAGAATGGTAGACAATGGTCTAGAATGGTAGACAATGGTCTAGAATGGAAGACAATGGTCTAGAATGGTAGACAATAGTCTAGAATGGTAGACAATGGTCTAGAATGGTAGACAATGGTCTAGAATGGTAGACAATGGTCTAGAATGGTAGACAATGGTCTAGAATGGAAGACAATGGTCTACAATGGTAGACAATGGTCTAGAATGGTAGACAATGGTCTAGAATGGTAGACAATGGTCTAGAATGGAAGACAATGGTCTAGAATGGAAAAACAATGGTCTAGAATGGAAGACAATGGTCTAGAATGGAAGACAATGGTCTAAATGTAGACAATGGTCTAGAATGGAAGACAATGGTCTAGAATGGAAGACAATGGTCTAGAATGGTAGACAATGGTCTAGAATGGTAGACAATGGTCTAGAATGGTAGACAATGGTCTAGAATGGTAGACAATGGTCTAGAATGGAGACAATGGTCTAGTAGTAGACAATGGTCTAGAATGGTAGACAATGGTCTAGAATGGAAGACAATGGTCTAGAATGGAAGACAATGGTCTAGAATGGAAGACAATGGTCTAGAATGGTAGACAATGGTCTAGAATGGAAGACAATGGTTAGAATGGTAGACATGGTCTAGAATGAGACAATGGTTAGAATGGTAGAGAATGGTCTAGAATGGTAGACAATGGTCTAGAATGGTAGACAATGGTCTAGAATGGTAGACAATGGTCTAGAATGGAAGACAATGGTCTAGAATGGAAGACAATGTCTAGAATGGTAGACAATGGTCTAGAATGGAAGACAATGGTCTAGAATGGCAGACAATGGTCTAGAATGGTAGACAATGGTCTAGAATGGAAGACAATGGTCTAGAATGGTAGACAATGGTCTAGAATGGAAGACAATGGTCTAGAATGGCAGACAATGGTCTAGAATGGTAGACAATGGTCTAGAATGGTAGACAATGGTCTAGAATGGAAGACAATGGTCTAGAATTTAAGACAATGGTCTAGAATGGAAGACAATGGTCTAGAATAGTAGACAATGGTCTAGAATGGAAGACAATGGTCTAGAATGGAAGACAATGGTCTAGAATGGTAGACAATGGTCTAGAATGGAAGACAATGGTCTAGAATGGAAGACAATGGTCTAGAATGGAAGACAATGGTCTAGTATGTAGACAATGGTCTAGAATGGAAGACAATGGTCTAGAATGGTAGACAATGGTCTAGAATGGTAGACAATGGTCTAGAATGAGACAATGGTCTAGAATGGAAGACAATGGTCTAGAATGGAAGACAATGGTCTAGAATGGTAGACAATGGTCTAGAATGGAAGACATGGTCTAGAATGGTAGACAATGGTCTAGAATGGTAGACAATGGTCTAGAATGGAAGACAATGGTCTAGAATGGTAGACAATGGTCTAGAATGGAGACAATGGTCTAGAATGAGTAGACAATGAGTCTAGAATGGTAGACATGGTCTAGAATGGTAAGACAATGGTCAGAATGTAACATGGTTAGTATGTAGACAATGGTCTAGAATGGAAGACAATGGTCTAGAATGGAAGACAATGGTCTAGAATGGAAGACAATGGTCTAGAATGGTTGACATGGTCTAGAATGGTAGACATGGTCTAGAATGGTAGACAATGGTCTAAATGAACATGTTGATTTAGACAATGGTCTAGAATGGAAGACAACGGCAGACAGGAAGACAATGGTAGAATACCCAGACCATGGCTAGATGAAGACATGGCTCTAGAATGATGACAAATGTTAGATATGGAACATGGTTGAATGGAATACAATGGAGAAAGGAAGGAATGGTCTGATGGTATGACAATGAGTAGAATGGTAGACATGTCTAAATGGTCAATGCAAATGTGTATGAAACGTGAGGTGGGGTGACTCCAGTACAGGAGAGACTGTCAGGCTGCTGGAACTGCAGTGATCTACATGACGTGAAGTTTGAAAAAATGATTGATGTCATGAAATGCCAATTGTTTTTTCTGCAAACTTGTATTTCTTAGGTGGTTAGGAATTATACATATGGTTAATGCATACATAAAAATTTGATCATATACATTTCTATTGGTAGCATATATGTTTATACATCAAAAATTGTATTTATTGACTTTATGTAAGAGTATCATTTCGTTGCACAATGCAGAAATTTTGACAATTAGGTAAATATCCCCGCCTTTTATGCTAAATAATTTTTGTTTCCCTTCAGATTTGCATCTGGAACCATGTATCCTACATGAGGATATGGAATACTCACAGTGGAGATGACTGAGGACTGGATACACTGGATGATAGAGGAGGAGGCAGGTCCTGGATGGTACTGTAAGGAGAGATATAACATGAACATCAACATTCCTAAATGAGTCAATGCATGTGTATGTAAACATGATGTGTTTGTGGATGTTTCGCCCTGGGACCCTGATCAGGGTCAGGTTTGTATGAAAAGTGTTCTGTTAAGTCAGTCACACTGCGTGGGTCATTGAACACAAGGAATGGTGAAGGTTTGAGCCTTCAACTGTGTGCAAAAACCTTAATTTTTAAAGGGTTGGATCGGTAAGCGAGTGGAAGGCCTCGTTCAAATGACCAAAAGCTTCAGCTGCGGGTCATCATATGACTAAGACCCACGTCAGGAAACACTTGTCCTGTTTTTTTTGACGAATCTTACCTAACCTCCGTCTGTGTCATCCAGCACAAGAAACGCTGGAGGTTTGATCCTCTAACTGCTAACAAGGCCCAATCTATTGTTCTTGTTTATAGGGCTAATGAACCTCACGCCGTATCCAGTCCTAATTGATATGATACGTAATATCCAAGGAAGGAATCACACTTACTTGCTCGGTGAGTTGCCGACTTCTGGGTTACTGGGGAATGGAGGGAAGGATGGGGTGGAAGACGAGTCCCCAAGAGGCAAAGACCCCATGTCCGCGGTCTTCACTTGAGGTGAGGATGAGGCCAATGGGATGACTAGTGTGTCTTGACTTGCAGCTGATGAGAAGGTCGATTGTAGTAGACCAGACAGTGACTGGTTCTCTCCAGGTTCACTGATATTGTTTCCTATCGTCCTGGGTTCTACGGGAGAGGTCGCAGTCTGTCTGCCATCTCTGCTGCCAGAGCTTTCAGTCGAGCCTCGAGGAGCTTGGTGGAGAGTGTTCGGTACAAACCCTCTTTCCAGATTCTGTGGTGCTAGGAATCTTTGATGTGAACTTATTAGTGTTCCAGGTACAATGGAACTATCGCTCTGGACGGAACTGGAAGATGACCCAATGGAGCCATCATTCTGGACGGAACTGGAAGATGACTCAATGGAGCCACCATTCTGGACGGAACTGGAAGATGACCCAATGGAGCCACCATTCTGGATGGAACTGGAAGATGACTCAATGGAGCCACCATTCTGGACGGAACTGGAAATGACCCAATGGAGCCACCATTCTGGACGGAGCTGGAAGATGATCCAATGGAGCCACCATTCTGGACGGAACTGGAAGATGACCCAATGGAGCTACCATTCTGGACGGAACTCTGAGAAGTATGTGAAGTATCATTATCGCTGAGCTGGAAATTCTGACTGGAAGACCCACTCAGTGATTGGTTATCTCCAGCTTCACCAGCAGTAGTGGCCACAGCCTGCCTCCCATCTCTTATAACAGAGCCGTCAGCGGACGAGCCTTGAGAAGCCTGTTGAAGATCATTGGGTATATAGTATTCAAACTTTGGCGGCTCTATGAACCTCTGAGGTGGCCCGCTTAGTGTTCCAGGGACAATGGACCTACTACTTTGACTCGAAGTAGAGATTCGATTGCATTTCCTTCCCCCACAGAGTCACTGGACGATACCTCCTGTGAGAATTGCTGTACTAGAACACTGCTATCAAGATGGACATTTCCAGACGCCTGGGACTGCTCTGGAGGATAAACTTTAGATTCAACTAAGTTCCCTTCTACAACGGTCCCACCTGAGGACGCTGTCTGGGAGACCTGTTGTGGTGAGGAATTTTGACTGATTTCTTTATCTCCACAGCTGTGTGTTGCTTTTGGAGTATGAGACCAAACTAAGTTTCCCTCAATCACAGAACTACTGGGTTGCTGTGGCAATGTGTTGCTACTGTGCTCACTGTTTCCAAAGCTTCGTGATTCTCTCACAGGAGGAGTGAAGGTTGCAATTAGATTTCCCGGAACAATCGAACTGCTACTTTGAATCGAGCTTGAAGAGGATTCACGTTTCAGATGCTGAGTTTCTGAAGGCTGACTTTGATCAACACTTTCAATGATCTGTGGCTGGGAAATGTACACTGTCTGTGGCTCCCCAACACTCTGAATTTCAGGATCTGACACTGACACCAGCTGAGAGCTGCTATCAGATCCAGATTGGCTCTGAGACACAGATGAGCTTCCATCTAGGAAATCTAATCCCTGAGCGTTTGGAATAAACTGGGTGAGCTTAGCTTCTTCAATTATAGAATTTTGAGATCCAGAAGACTGTGAGAGAGACAGTGTCTCTGGCTGTGAGAGAGACAGTGTCTCTGGCTGTGAGAGAGACAGTGTCTCTGGCTGTGAGAGAGACACCACCTGTGGCTCACCTGCAGTTATAATCGACCCTCCACTAGGGGTACTCTGGCTTGCGCTAACATACTGAGGTAAGCCACCTGTCACCTGGTCTCGTGTGACCTGCTGACCAAGGTCATTTTGGGCAAGATCCTGGGAGAACTGGGAGACGATCTGCTGACCATCGAACTGGGAGACACCAGAAGCATCCTGCTGATTCACACTCAACTGACTGCAGGAAATCAAAGAAAATTACTTAGTATAACTGCCTCGGAAAACTGAGTTTGATAAGTGAAACACTGGTGTAACATTTAGGAATCTATATTCTGGAAACGTTTCGCCAGTCAGTGCTTTCTTCAGTCCAATACAGAGAACGGTGGAAAATGAAGAAGAGTTTGAGGTAATCAATCCCTTATCCTGGAGTCGATGTAATCAGTCCATCAATCTCCTTTGTATGGACTGATGAAGCCACTGTGTGGCGAAACGTTTCCAGAATATCAATTCCCAAATATAAAGTATTTAAGTAACAAATTAATAATGTATTATTACATCGTATGACCAAATATTTCTCAATATATTCCTTATATCACGTTTCGGTACAAACTGATCCAAAACGTTGCCTTTGTTTTGGTTAGGTATGTTGTGTCAAGAATTTTTGTTTTGGATTCTGCCTCCGGAACGGCTAGTTCAATGTGCCTGTCTTTGAGACTGTAAATTGTACCCGAGCACCTGATAAACCCTGGTGAGTGAGCCAGTGTAAGGCTCAGTCCCCCGTACACCAGTCTTATACTCACTCTGGTGTACTACACTCCACCTGCCCTGCTGCTGCTCTCTAGCTGCTGCTGCTGCTGCTCTGCCCCTGCTACGCTGCCTGCTGCTGTCTGCTCTGCTGCCGCTGCTGCTCCCTGCTGCTGCTGACTACTGCTCTACTACTATGCTGCCCGCAGCTCTCCACCACTACTACTACTACTACTACTACTACTACTACTACTACTACTACTACACTACTACTACTACTACTATACTACTACACCACACACCACTACTACTACTACTACTACTACTACTACTACTACTACTATCACCACCACCACCACTACTACTACTACTACTACACTACTACTACTACTACTACTACTACTACTACTACTACTACTACTACTACTACTACTACTCACCACCCACCACACTACTACTAACTACTACTACTCACCACCACCTACACTACTACTACTACTACTACTCACCACCACCACCACTACTACTACTACTACTACTATCACCACCACCACACTACTACTACTACTACTACTACTACTATCACCACCACCACCACTACTACTACTACTACTACTACTACTACTACTACTACTACTACTACTACTACTACTACTATCACCACCACCACCACTACTACTATTACTACTACTACTACTACTACTACTACTAATACTAACTACTACTACTACTACAAATAATAATAATAATAATAATAATAATATCACTACCTCTATCACTACTACAATTATTGTACCTCTTCTCGTACTACCACTCCCTTCCCAGTCCACTCTCAAATATATATTGGCTCCCTTCCCTTCATGCTTCTGTGTGGCTAATTAATGGTCAAAATATAACAGAAACGTCGTCATTAGTTTCAGTTTCCTATGTGTTATTTTCGTGTGTATATAATCATCACTCAGTCTATCAGGAGAGTGGGATCGTGCAGAGACTGGAAACTTACCTGTGATCTCCCGGGTGAGATTTTCTGAGGAAAGCTCTCAACAATAGTGGCTCCTCTTGGCTCCTCCAGGATACTGTTGACCTCCAGAGCAGATGACTGGATCGTAGGATTCCCGACGTTCTTTGTAACAGCCACAGCCTCTACGATATTAGCCGTTCCTCCGTCTCCAGAGCTGTGGAAGGTGTGTGGGAACGTATCACATCTATTGAACCTATGATCGACTTGTTAAATAGGGCGAAATGTCTCTAATAAGATTCTGTCTACTACACACGTTTCGCACTCACTATAAAATAATGGATATTAAAAGATAGATAATATACATGCAACATTATTACAGTAAACAGGTGATATCACAATATGCAAAACAGCCACTGTGAAAAATAGTGAAAATCCAGGCGCTTTCGTGACTTCTCACATTATCAAGGAACCTTGATAATGTGAGAAATTACGAAAGCGCCTGGAATTTCACTGTTTTTTCAAAGTAGTTGTTCTGCACCCATACACATTTCGACCACACCACGACGTCTTTTTTACTCTAATGGAGAGAATGTCTATATAAAATTCTCTCCAACAGACTGAAAAAGGTCTCAGTTGGAAGTCGAAATATGCAGAGAATAATATGAGTTGGTGTTTATCTATAAGAACGTAAGACAGGAGGAGCACTGCAGGAGGCCTAATGGCCCATACTAGGTAGGTCTTCCTCAAGCTGACACTAACACAAAAATATTTGCCTAACCCATTATCAGTGTTACCTAAGACCCATTATCAGTGTTACCTAAGACCCATTATCAGTGTTACCTAAGCCCATTATCAGTGTTACCTAAGCCCATTATCAGTGTTACCTAAGACCCATTATCAGTGTTACCTAAGACCCATTATCAGTGTTACTAACCCTACAGAAGCCCATTATCAGTGTTACCTAAGGCCCATTATCAGTGTTACCTAAGACCCATTATGAGTGTTACCTAAGGCCCATTATCAGTGTTACCTAAGACCCATTATGAGTGTTACCTAAGGCCCATTATCAGTGTTACCTAAGACCCATTATCAGTGTTACCTAAGACCCATTATGAGTGTTACCTAAGACCCATTATCAGTGTTACCTAAGACCCATTATCAGTGTTACCTAAGACCCATTATGAGTGTTACCTAAGGCCCATTATAGTGTTACCTAAGCCCATTATGAGTGTTACCTAAGGCCCATTATCAGTGTTACCTAAGACCCATTATGAGTGTTACCTAAGGCCCATTATCAGTGTTACCTAAGACCCATTATGAGTGTTACCTAAGCCCATTATCAGTGTTACCTAAGGCCCATTATGAGTGTTACCTAAGAAATAAGCTTTGAATACCCTGTTAACTGTAAATCCCACTCAAACCCAATGCAAGTCCCATTCCAACCCCTCTCATTTATGTCCAAGTCCCACTCCAATCCCTCTCACTCATGTGCAAGTCCCACTCCAACCCTTCTCAATCATGTCCAAGTCCCACTCCAACCCCTCTCAATCATGTGCAAGTCCCACTCCAACCCCTCTCATTTATGTCCAAGTCCCATTCCAATCCCTCTCATTCATGTCCAAGTCCCATTCCAACCCCTCTCACTCATGTACAAGTCCCACTCCAGCCCCTCTCAATCATGTACAAGTCCCACTCCAACCCCTCTCACTCATGTACAAGTTCCACTCCAACCCCTCTCAATCATGTGCAAGTCCCCCACCTCCACAAACCCCCTACTCACTCATGTACAAGTCCCACTCCAACCCCTCTCAATCATGTGCAAGTCCCACTCCAACCCTCTCATCATGTACAAGTTCCACTCCAACCCCTCTCAATCATGTACAAGTCCCACTCCAACCCCTCTCAATCATGTACAAGTCCCACTCCAACCCCCAATCATGTGACTGTACCACTCAACCTCTCAATATGTGACAAGTTCGACTCAACGTCAATCAAGTACAAGGTGACAAAGTGATCAGTGACAAGGTCCACAGACCCGTTCAAATGGTGACAAGTCCAGGTACAACCGGTACAGAGGTGACAAGTACTCAAGCCTCGAACAAGGTGACAAGGTCCACACGATGTCAAAGGTGACAAGTCACCCCAAACCTCTCAATTGACAAGGTACACTCCAACGCTACATCAGGTGCAAGGTCGACAACCGTCACAAGTGACAGTTATCAAGTCAACCCCTCTACTATGTACAAGTTCAGATCAACCTCACATGCAGGTGAAGCGACCAGCAACGACTATCGTACAACGTCGCCATCCACGGCTTTCTAATCATGTACAAGTTCCCATGCCAAACACTCTCAGTTAATGTAAAAGGGCGATCCATTCATCAACGTGCCCCACTCAACATAGTTACTGTAATATTATTATTAGTAGTACATAGTGACAGATACGATTAAGGTACATATATTATAAGGTGACAATTATATGGTAAGTTTGAAAAGTGAAGAGTGAGGTACTAGGGACTGGTTACAAGTGCAGAGGTGAACAGAGACAAGGTACAGGTCAATGGACAATACACAGAGTGAAATACATGAGTGACAGTAAGAGAATCCATGGGTGTTAAATGACCGATGCACAACGAACGTACGCTAAACGTACTCGTATCGTACGGTGTAGGCAAACTTTGTAAGTTCACCAGTGGGCCAAACCTTGTCGATGAAAGGGATCCTGCATTGGAGTTTCCACATGGAATTTATGTATTACTTTGACTTCAGCATGAATTATGGTTATATCAATTATATTATTATTATTAAGTATGAAAAGGGGGGAGTATGGACCTGGGTACACGGCTGAGTTGTGATTACGGACTTCTCCGTATCCAGGCTGAAAATATTTAAATTTGGTGTAAGTGGAGTGTTTTAATCCTGCTGTATGTGGTTTGTGTAGAAGATGGGTGTAGAGTCTTCCAGATCCTCTAGTCTTTGTTATTCAGGTTGACACAAAGTCAGGTAGTCTGGATATAACTGGAAGCTGGAAGCGTGCGTTTGGAAATTAGATGTGTCAGGACGGCCTTAGGTAAAGAGATGAAATTTGATCACCATGGACTTGGTTTATCTTGGTTTGTGAGAAGATCGGTAATTTTCGCATTAACGTTTGTTTCTGGAAAAATTCGATCCTAGATAAAGCTGGCACTGTAGTGGAAATTAAATTAAGGAAGCGCTTGATACTGGACGAATCTCTACAGCATCACCGCCTTACTGGGTGTATTTTCGTCTTCTCTTGGAATGATTTAGTGTAAAACAGGATAAACCACGAATGACATCTCTAAGTTTCCCATTAACTGGGTTACAATGTTTATACAGGTAACACAATGAGTCTGGATAGGTACGTGTGGGTCAGGGGCAGACAAAAGATCTTCTCTCTTAGAGCTCTTCAGCATGACGCCTTCAAGAAGAACACAAGTAGCAACACCGTGGCTGGAGCAACTCGCAGGGGAAACTTTAGACGTTATTTCTGTCCTTCTTGAACCATCCTCAAGTCCGTCACTTGCTGGTAAGTTCTCTGTAGCTTCAAGGGTAAATGAGGAATCAGAAACCGGTTCAGTAGCTTCAAATGGCTTAGCAAAGAGGTTGTTGGCTAGCAAAACTATATTTGGGGAAGCGAATATGACTGGTAGAGTTTCCATCTGTAGTGGAACTAGAGCCATAAGCTGAGAAGGGAAATGAGAGACATGAGGAACATTAATAATGAGAGAAGATGGCTCATGGCTTACTGATAGGCTCATTGCAGTGTAATTACTGCCTAAAGTTGATGTCAACACGTTAGGAGGGTTGTGAGTGCCTGCAAGTGCTGCAGGAGTCGAGGAAGTTGAATCAGTGTGATTTGATCTTGCAGGATCTTCCAAGTCATTGTCCTCTTCTGGAAATTGAGCTGCAAGACGGGAAAGTGCAAAAAGTTCTTCTCCTGCAGGACTCCGAGAGGAAAAGTCTTGGTTTTTAGAACTCTCAAGAGTTGAGGGATGATCTTGATCTGATAAATTCTCAGAGATAAAGGAAATAGAACTTTGATCTTGAAGACTAACAGAACTGAGAGACGTAACGTTTAAATTTGGGAAATTTTGATTTTCGGAAAGTGAACCTGAGGATGTAAAGCCAGTAGTTGGATATACTTCGAAACTGTTCTCGTGTTCGTGAATAAAAGTATTGTTAGCGAATTTCTGTTCTTTTCCAGCAACTCCTAGCTGTGTATTATGTGGGTGTTCTATGTAGAAGCCATCTGAGAATTCAGAATTGTCCATTGAAGAATGAATGCTCTGTTCTGTCTTCGCTGCGTCCTCCTTCACGGTGTTAGGGAGACCAGAGTTACTGAATATAAAACTGTCTTGCTGGTCTCTTTGTCCTGTGTTACTCAGGGACTCACTGCTCTGAGGCGCGAGGTAAACATCTGAGGCATCCCAGATGATGTGTGTATTGTGTACACTCACTGGGGCCTCTGAAGTAATGACTGTGTGTGGAGAGTCTCCCGTAGTGACTAGAAAACTGCTGGGATGGAAGTTCTCAGTACCTTCTGAAGGCACAGTGTCCCGAGGATTATCAAGAAAACCGTCGGGGTTGCTGTAGCTGTTAGCGAGAGTATTACTTCCTCTTACTTCGGTGATGAAGAAATCGTTGCTATGATTTTCTTGTGCCTCGCTGAAGACGACCACCGGTTGCCCTAAGACGAACTCCTGAGAGGAAACATCAGGGTGAGAAAACTGACTAACGCTAATATATCGTATTCCAGAGTCAGTGAGGTTAGTTGAGTCCCCCACCAAGTTCTTGTTTACAAAAATGTTACTGAGCCTGGGGTCGCTTGAGGATTCCTGGTCAGTGAAGAGTTTCGTTGATAAAGAGTCTTCGAGCACCTCCTCCAGAACGAAGATAGGAGTGATGGGTGGGGATGAGGAATCTTGCTTGGTATTGGAAGTAGTAGTAGTAGTGTGGGAAGTAGTAGATGTCGAGGTCCCAGTGTGAGTATTGGCGAGCATGAAGCTTCTAGTGTCGGAGATGGTGGACATGGAACCTCCATTGTGGGAATTAGTGGATATTAAATTTCCAGTGTGAGACGGGATTGACATCAAACTTCCAGTGTGAGACGGGATGGATATCAAACTTCCAGTGTGAGACGGGATGGACATCAAATTTCCAGTGTCAGACGGGATTGACATCAAACTTCCAGTGTGAGACGGGATGGACATCAAACTTCCAGTGTGAGACGGGATGGACATCAAACTTCCAGTGTGAGACGGGATGGACATCAAACTTCCAGTGTGAGACGAGATGGACATCAAACTTCCAGTGTGAGACGAGATGGACTTCAAACTTCCAGTATGAGACGGGATGGACTTTGAACTTCCAGTGTGGGAGTTAGTAGACATTGAATTTTCACTATGTTCTTTAGGAGACACCAGATTTACCACACTCCCATCACCACCTAGTTCTAGCCGAGCGCTGTTGAGTGTCAGAGATGTTAGTTTAACACAGCATTCCGTTATCAACTAGCCAAAGATAACACTATTATAATCAAAGGAATGAAGTGAACCCATAAGGGATGGAAAATGGGAAGAAATCAAATACGATTCCAAGAAGGGTTTGGGTAGGGCTCGATACGAGCGTAAGTTCTCAGCGTCCCTATAAACTACCAACAAAACGAAGAAAGGTTTGGATACCTTCCATTCTTGGAATCAAAGCATTGAATCCCATTTCGTCTCTTTGAATAAGAGAATTCACTTATACAAAAATAAAATTAGGAATTTATCTTAGACTTTTAAGCTAAACAAATTATCTTTGGCTAGTTATAATGTTAATTAGCATTTAAGTTAAATTAACAATTATGATTAGTGGATTTTAGGCTGTTAATATGTTAGTTTAGATAAGCATTGGGTAGTAGCAAGGCTAGTAGCACACACACACACACACGGGACCAGGAGCTATGACTCGACACCTGCAAATACAATTAGGTGAATACATACACACACACACACACACACACACACACACACACACACACACACACATAAGGGTCATTTACTATCAGTATTAGCATTATTATTAGTAGTAAAGGTAGTAGTAGTAGTAGTAGTAGAAGTAGTAGTAGTGGTGGTAGTAGTAGTAGTAGTAGTGGTAGTAGTAGTAGCAGTAATAGTAGTGGTAGTAGTAGTAGTAGTGGTGGTAGTAGTGGTAGTAGTATAGTAGATAGTAGTGGTAGTAGTGGTAGTAGTGGTAGTAGTGGTGGTAGTAGTAGTGGTAGTGTAGTGGTAAATAATCAGAGAATAGTAGTGTTTGCCAGCAGTTCGTCTTAGTATTAGTATGTATGTAGAAAGTAGTATTGTGTATTAGTATATTAGTTAGTAGTAATATGTAGTGGTATTAGTGTATATGGTAGTATGGTAGTTTTATAGTATAAGTATATAGTAGTTTAATTAGTATAGTTGGTACTATATATTAGTAATAATGTATAGTGTAGTAGTGGTATAACGTAAATATGGTGGTAGTATAGTAAATATATAAAGTAATAAAATAGTAAGTAGTGTGTAGATAATGGTAGAGTATAAATGGTAGTCAGTGTATAGTGGTAGAAGTGGGTGAGTATATGTAGTATATAGTAGTAGTAAAGTAGTGGTAGTAGTGTAGTAGTAGTAGTAGTGAGTAGTAGTATAGTGGTGGTAAGTGGTATATGATAGTAGTGGTAGTAGTGAGTGTAGTGTAGTAGTGTGGTAGTGGTATAGTGGTGGTAGTGTAGTAGTGATAGTATGGTAGTAGTGGTGGTAGTGGTAGTAGTGGTGGTAGTGGTAGTAGTGGTGGTAGTGGTAGTAGTGGTGGTAGTGGTAGTATTTGGTTTGTAGTGGTGGTATGGTAGTAGTGGTAGTAGTGGTAGTAGTGGTGGTAAATGGTAGTATGTAGTACTAGTAGTAATAGTAGTGGTAGTAGTGGTAGTAGTGGTAGTAGTGGTGTAGTGGTAGTAGTGGTAGTACTAGTAGTAATAGTAGTGTAGTAGTGTAGTAGTAGTGGGGTAGTGGTAGTATGGTAGTACTAGTAGTAAAGTAGTGTATAGGGAGTAGTGGTAGTAGTGGTAGTAGTGGTAGAGTAGTGTGGTGGAGTGGTGGTAGTGTTAACTTACCCTTCAAGAAGGTTGCCAGCAGCTTCCGTCTCTGATTTTGTCTGTAACAAGATTATTATTATTATTATTATTATTATTATTATTATTATTATTATTATTATTATTATTATTAATTAATTATTATTACTTATAACAAACCAAAAATTTCGATTACATTTTAAACAACGTAATAATCACTGTAACAGCAGATAACAAATAACTATTAAAAAATAATAATAATAACGATAATTTAGAGTCAAAATATAATTCAAAATTTTTGTAAAGGGAAAAATGGACATTATAATAATCGTTACTGAGATATTCTGAATCAAAAATTTTGATTATCTCTCGCATCACTCAAAATATAACAGCACATTTGGGATGTATTCAGTTTTTAATATATAATAAAATGGTATATCTGGCTAAGAACGTCAGACGTGTGACGTTTGGGATGAAAAGGGGATTCCTTGACTATCTGGTGAACCGTTCGTTAGGTCACTGAGTAGATCGTAGAGAACAGGAAGTAGATAACTCAATAGAGAACAGAGAACGATCAAGCAGGATGTTAATAGATAGTTTGATCTATCAAAACATACCAGGATATCACCTGGAATAATGGCAGGATGTTAATAGACAGTTCGATCTATCAGAACATACCAGAATATCACGTAGAACAGGATGTTAATAGATTGTTTGATCTATCAGAACATACCAGGATATCACCTGGAACAATGGCAGGATGTTAATAGATAGTTCGATCTATCAGAACATACCAGATTCACTTCCAACATCACTGTCACACTGGCGTGGTCACTCTGACTGACCTCCTCACCGAAAGTTCCACCTCACCTGGAGTTTACCTGGAGAGAGTTCCGGGGGTCAACGCCCCCGCGGCCCGGTCTGTGACCAGGCTCCAGGTGGATCAGCGCCTAATCATCCATGGCGTGTTACTGCTGCCTGCACGCAAACCACACCGTAAGCCACACCTCGCTGATCAGGAACGATTTAGGTGCTTGTCAAGTGCCCGCGGCCCGGTCTGTGGACCATGCCTCCAGGTGGGGGGTAACAGGGCCTGATCACTCATGTATGGGCTTTAACTGCGTGCACCCTGAGTGCAAACCAACTATACAACCAATCCGTCTAATCAGAACCGAAAATTTAGCTGTTGTTTGCAACTTGGAAGCTTTTTTTACTGACAGGGGTACTGTTGGTAATCCCACATTACAAGTATGCTGTACAGGACAAGTATGAACAGGTTGGGCCTACATATTTTATGGTTCTAACGTCAGTGACACCCCTATGTGACAAAAAACAACCTATCACAACAAATTCGTCTTTTAAACTTAGTAAGAAATCAAAATTTCTGTAAGAGGGGTTGAAGCTTTGGAAAATTTTATTTTTTTCAGTACAAGTATACAAGTACATGTACAAAATATACAAGTACATGTACAAGGTATACAAGTACATGTACAAGGTATACAAGTACATGTACTAGGTATACAAGTACATGTACTAGGTATACAAGTACATGTACAAGGTATACAAGTACATGTACAAGGTATACAAGTACATGTACAAGGTATACAAGTACATGTACAAGGTATACAAGTACATGTACAAGGTATACAAGTACATGTACAAGGTATACAAGTACAAGGTATACAAGTACATGTACAAGGTATACAAGTACATGTACAAGGTATACAAGTACATGTACAAGGTATACAAGTACATGTACAAGGTATACAAGTACATGTACAAGGTATACAAGTACATGTACAAGGTATACAAGTACATGTACAAGGTATACAAGTACATGTAAAAAGGTATACAAGTACATGTACAAGGTATACAAGTACATGTACTAGGTATACAAGTACATGTACAAGGTATACAAGTACATGTACTAGGTATACAAGTACATGTACAAGGTATACAAGTACATGTACAAGGTATACAAGTACATGTACAAGATATACAAGTACATGTACAAGGTATACAAGTTTACACAGAACTGCTTAATGCCTCAAATGATGTGGTGGAAGTTTTAGCAGTAAAGGTCGAGAACCAAAACCTAGTCATTGTGGTAGTCTACAAGCCTCCGGATGCAACATCCCAGCAATTCCAGGAACAGCTGTTAAAAATTGACCACTGTCTGGAAAATCTTCCAGCTCCTGCACCCAACATCTTGCTCCTGGGGGATTTCAACTTAAGGCACCTAAAATGGAGGAATATAGCAAATAATATTGTTGCAGTAATAACACCAGGAGGCAGCTCTGATGAAAACTCACACTCACACGAGCTTTTAAATCTCTGCACAAAATTCAATTTAAACCAGCAAATAATAGAGCCTACTAAAACTGGAGAATACACTAGACCTCATCTTCACTAACAATGATGATCTGATACGAAATGTCACCATATCAAAAACAATATACTCAGATCACAACATAATTGAGGTTCAAACATGTATGCGTGGAGCCCCAGACCGACATAATGAGATTAGTCACGAGGGAGCATTCACCAAATTCAACTTCAATAACAAAAACATAAAGTGGGACCAAGTAAACCAAGTCCTAACCGATATAAGCTGGGAAGATATACTAAGCAACACAGACCCCAAAATTATGCCTAGAACAGATTAACTTGGTGGCACTCGATGTATGCACAAGGCTTATTCCTCTAAGAAAAGGGAGGAGTAGATGTAAAAATAGAAAGAGACAGGCGCTCCCTTTACAGGCGACGGAAAAGAATAACAGAGCGGCTAAAAAAAGGTCAATATATCTGAAATGCGTAGGGAGACACTGGTCAGAGAAATAGCAAACATCGAACTTAAGCTAAAGGAATCTTATAGGAGTCAGGAATCGTGGGAAGAACTAAAAGCCATAAATGAAATCGAAAGAAACCCAAAGTATTTCTTCTCCTATGCCAAATCAAAGTCGAGAACAACGTCCAGTATTGGGCCCCTACTTAAACAAGATGGGTCCTACACAGATGACAGCAAGGAAATGAGTGACCGGGGGCGTTGACCCCCGGAACTCTCTCCAGGTAAACTCCAGGTAAACATGTACAAGGTATACAAGTACATGTACAAGGTATACAAGTACATGTACAAGGTATACAAATACATGCACAAGGTATACAAGTACATGTACAAGGAAATACAAGTACATGTACGAGGATAAAAAGAAATTTTTAAAGGGTTTATACAAGTACTGAAACAAGGTATACAAGTAACAGACCTTTAAGGCAGGGGGAAATTCCCGGGACCTAAAAATGTCAGAGAACTTTCACGGCGCGCATAACGGAGAAAAAAACACCTCAATTATGGGAGGTTTTTTGGGGTTTTCCTGATCCTGTATTCCCGGGAAAACGCAGGGGGGAAAGGGGAACATGTTATATACACCGGGAAAAATCCTAGAGGGACTAGTACCGAATTTGCACACGAAATCACTCACAACAAAAAAAGCAAAAGACTTGGCAGCGATGCAACACCCCCCCAAATGAAATGCAGGGTGCCCACTAGCACTTTAAAGAGACATACAATAAGTGTCAGGGGGGCCCGGGGGACTGTTTAACTGCCTCCCCGCAAACATAAGGGGGGTTAAACCCAAAAGGGCCACTGGCAGTCTTCCCAAACTGGGATGGACAAAACCCCCAAAATTTGGTTCCCGATCAGCCGGGCTGTGGCTTTGTACTTGGTTTGCGTGCAAACCCGGGATTTTAAAAGGGCCCGGTTGATAGGCTCTGGGTTTCCCCCAGGAGGCCCGGGCAAAAGAACCCGGGGGCCCCAGGGCCCTTGACCCCCGGAACCTCCCAAAGGGAAACTCCCCGGGGAAACATGTACGGGTAAAAATTTCATTTACAAGGTATACAAGTACATGTACAAGGTAAACAACCATAGCTGACAAACAGTGAAAATACTACTATATAGAAATTTCCCCCGTTATGCCTTTTGGGATTTCCCGCAAATTTTTGGTCAGTTTTGGGCCCCGGATGCGACCCCCATCCATCCACTAACACCCAGGATGTGACCCACACCCGTCCACAAAAACCCCCGGATGTGGGCCCACACCAAATCCACTAACACCCAGGATTTGAACCCCCACCAGTCCACTAAAACCCCGGATGTGGCCCACACAAGTCCACTAACACCCAGGATGCGACCCACACCAATCCACTAACACCCAGGATGCGACCCACACCAGTCCACTAACACCCTGGATGCGACCCACACCAGTCCACTAACACCCAAGATGCGACCCACACCAGTCCACTAACACCCAGGATGCGACCCACACCAGTCCACTAACACCCAGGATGCCACCCACACCAGTCCACTAACACCCAGGATGCGACCCACACCAGTCCACTAACACCCAGGATGCCACCCACACCAGTCCACTAACACCCAGGATGCGACCCACACCAGTCCACTAACACCCAGGTACCTACTTACTGCTAGGTGAACATGGACAGCAGGTGTCTTAAGGAAACATATCCTAATGTTTCTACCCTTACCAGGGATCGAATCTCGGACCATCAGCGCGTGAAAAGAGAGTGTTACCTACCAAGCCATGGGACACCTAAAAATTTTGGATCTACTGTATGGGAAGATGTTGCCAAGGGGCCCTATAACAGTTCAAGCTTCAGGGCCCTAAAAATATAGGTCCCCCACAGTCTACAATTAAATTGTACTCACATTGGACCTAAAAACACGAACATTATCCGTGTTCAACGACCCGGAACCTGAAACAGAAAACGTAAAATATAGAAACTGAAATCGGTAACTATTATAGAAAAATACAATTACTCGCAGAATTAAAAACACAGATGTTTAAACTGAAATTTTATACTTAATAGACCAATAGACTGAACTTACTGTATCCCTGGGAAGAGACGAAGGTTGAATCTATCTGTTGGAGACGAGGGTCCCTTCCTGACCTGAAGATAAGATAAGATAAGATAAGATTTCTTTCGGATTTTTAACCCCGGAGGGTTAGCCACCCAGGATAACCCAAGAAAGTCAGTGCGTCATCGAGGACTGTCTAACTTATTTCCATTGGGGTCCTTAATCTTGTCCCCCAGGATGCGACCCACACCAGTCGACTAACACCCAGGTACCTATTTGCTGCTAGGTGAACAGGACAACATGTGTAAGGAAACGTGTCGAAATGTTTCCACCCGCCGGGAATCGAACCCGGACCCTCCGTGTGTGAAGCGGGAGCTTGAGCCACCAGGCCACCGGAGGAGAAGTTACATACTTCAGCCTCGGTTTGTGCCCCTCTTCAGAGGACAGTTCCTTAAGACCTAAATATAAGAACACATCTTAATACGTCAGTTTTCGCACGTAGTACGTCAAGGACAGACGTCCATTCGTTAGGTACTTACGAAATGTCGTTTATAACCAGGAGGGGCTTGGCTTCTGTGATTTGTGGTCCGATGTGTAGCTCCTGGACCGGGAGCTGAGACCTGACATCGAAGCTAGGACCACTACAAAAGAAAAATAATAATTAATAATAATAATAATAATAATAATAATAATAATAATAATAATTAATAATAATATAATAATAATTAATTATTATTATTATTATTATTATTATATTATTATTATTATATTATATTATTATTATTATTGTTATATATACACCAAGAGGTATATATATATATATATATATATATATATATATATATATATATATATATATATATATATAATATATATATATATATAATATATATATAATATATATATATATATATATATATATATATATATATATATATTCAATGTGTATATCTCGGAGTGAGTGTATTTCTCAGTATATATAAATTCTATGTATATACTCTCAGCGTGTACACTATCAGTGTATATACAGAGAGGTGTGTATATCTCAGTGTATGTACAGTTAGCGTATATACTTAGTGTGTATATACAGGTGTATATGTCTGTGTATACTTACCCAGGAGGGTAGATGGGTACTGGTGCAGGTGAGCCATTGTATTCTGGACCGGGAAGTGGTCCCACTGGACCGGGAAGTGGTCCCACTGGACCGGGAAGTGGTCCCACTGGACCGGGAAGTGGTCCCACTGGACCAATTCCCTGTATTGGAATCCAAGGCTCCTTGTCACAAGCGGTACAGTCTGGCTGGACCGGTCCAGGACCTCCGGAGACCGGAAAGCTGTCGATTATACCTTGACCGGATGGTGAACCGACTGGTCCAGGACCAAGGAGAATAGAAGAGGATATATACTGCTCAGAAGGAGCGGTATACAAGGGTGTAGGAGCAGGTGGTATATATTCTGGGGATATATTCTGGTCTGAAGGAGGGATATATTGACCTGAAGGAGGAATATTCTGGCTATTTGAACCAGAGGCAAAGAATATTGGAGGGGATATATTGTGGTCTGATGGAGGGGTATATATAATAGGAGGAATATTCTGGCTGTTAGACCCTGAAGGGAATATCACAGGAGGGGATATATTCTGGTCTGAAGGAGGGATATTCTGGCTGCTAGACCCTGAAGGGAATATCACAGGAGGGGATATATTCTGGTCTGAAGGAGGGATATTCTGGCTGCTAGACCCTGAAGGGAATATCACATTAGGGGATATATTCTGCTCTGGAGGGATATATAGTGCTGGAGGAGGTATATTTTTGCTACTAGACACAGGTGCGAATATTTCCTGCTTGTTAGCGGAGTCTTCCAGAGGCAGTATGTATTGATCATTAGGTCCTGAGGGCTGTGGAGGTATGTACTGGTCATTAGGGACTGGTACATACAGCGGTGGTGGAGGTTCGTGCTTGGCTTCTGTACTGGAGGACAGTGGGAGGACGTAGTTGTCTGATGGAGGAGGGAAGAACGGCCCGTTGATGTCCTTTGGAGGGAGTGGAGGGCTGTAGTTGTCTGATGGAGGAGGGAAGAACGGCCCGTTGATGTCCTTTGGAAGGAGTGGAGGGCTGTAGTTATCTTGTGGAGGGAGTGGAGGGCTGTAGTTATCTTGTGGAGGGAGTGGAGGGCTGTAGTTATCTTGTGGAGGGAGTGGAGGGCTGTAGTTATCTTGTGGAGGGAGTGGAGGGCTGTAGTTATCTTGTGGAGGGAGTGGAGGGCTGTAGTTATCTTGTGGAGGGAGTGGAGGAGGAAGAGGTGGGCCGTAGTTATCCTGTGGAGGAGGAGGTGGAGGAAGAGGTGGGCCGTAGTTATCTTTTGGAGGAGGAGGTGGTGGTCCATACTGGGGAGGAGGAGGAGGTGGTGGTGGTCCATAGTTGCCCTTAGGAGGAGGAGGTGGTGGTCCATAGTTCCCCTTGGGAGGAGGAGGAGGAGGTGGCCCGTATTTGGGAGGAGGAGGCGGTGGAGGGCCATAGCTGGCCTTTGGAGGAGGAGGTGGTGGTCCATACTGAGGAGGTGGTGGAGGAGGAGGTGGTCCATAGTGTCCCTTTGGTTTAGGAGGAGGTGGTCCATATTGAGGAGGTGGCGGAGGTGGCGGAGGAGGCGGTCCATATTGAGGAGGTGGCGGTCCATATTGAGGAGGAGGTGGTCCATATTGAGGAGGAGGCGGTCCATAAACAGGAATCGGCGGTCCATAAGTCTCCAAAGGCTCCTCCTCTCCACCTCCTTTGCCTTTGCCAAAGCTAAATAGGTCTTTGATACCTCCAAAGAGATCGAAGTCAAAAAGACCCCCTTTGCCACCTCCTTTGCCACCTCCCTTACCCTTGGAGGGCTGTGGAGGTGGAGGAGGGGGTGGAGGAGGAGGTGGAGGAGGGATAGCAGCCGGATATGAGCGTTTTTGAAGGTTGGAGGCAGCGGAGTGAGTCCCCTTAGAGATACTAAGGAATACCAGCAACACTCCAGCAAGGAACACAACCTGAGGACACCGAAAAAATGTTTTAGTTACCCCTAGAAAATAACAATACTACTACTACTACTACTACTACTACTACTACTACTACTACTACTACTACTACTACTAATAATAATAATAATAATAATAATAATAATAATAATAATAATAATAATAATAATAATAATGCTAGCTTTCACCTGCTGCCACTGTTCACCTAGCAGTAAATAGGTACCTGGGTTTTAGGTGACTGTTGTGAATAACAATAACTTAGCCTCTACATTTCGCCCGGTAATCGAACTCAGGTCATTCTGGTTGTGAGCCGAACACGTTAGTTGTAAACTAGTCAGCGGTGTCTCACCACAGTAATGGATTATCATACTTAAGGCGAAGAACTGCGCTGCAGAGGACAGCTTTCTCTAGCATTAGCGTGCGGCACAGATGTGCGGTGTAAACTGCCTCCTGACACTGCTGACTTGTTAGTAAACTGCCTCCTGACACTGCTGACTTGTTAGTAAACTGCCTCCTGACACTGCTGACTTGTTAGTAAACTGCCTCCTGACACTGCTGACTTGTTAGTAAACTGCCTCCTGACACTGCTGACTTGTTAGTAAACTGCCTCCTGACACTGCTGACTTGTTAGTAAACTGCCTCCTGACACTGCTGACTTGTTAGTAAACTGCCTCTGACACTGCTGACTTGTTAGTAAACTGCCTCCTGACACTGCTGACTTGTTAGTAAACTGCCTCCTGACACTGCTGACTTGTTAGTAAACTGCCTCCTGACACTGCTGACTTGTTAGTAAACTGCCTCCCGACACTGCTGACATTGTTAGTAAACTGCCTCCTGACACTGCTGACTGTTAGTAAACTGCCTCCTGACACTGCTGACTTGTTAGTAAACTGCCTCCTGACACTGCTGACTTGTTAGTAAACTGCCTCCTGACACTGCTGACTTGTTAGTAAACTGCCTCCTGACACTGCTGACTTGTTAGTAAACTGCCTCCTGACACTGCTGACTTGTTAGTAAACTGCCTCCTGACACTGCTGACGTGTTAGTAAACTGCCTCCTGACACTGCTGACTTGTTAGTAAACTGCCTCCTGACACTGCTGACTTGTTAGTAAACTGCCTCCTGACACTGATGACGTGTTAGTAAACTGCCTCCTGACACTGCTGACTTGTTAGTAAACTGCCTCCTGACACTGCTGACTTGTTAGTAAACTGCCTCCTGACACTGCTGACTTGTTAGTAAACTGCCTCCTGACACTGCTGACGTGTTAGTAAACTGCCTCCTGACACTGCTGACTTGTTAGTAAACTGCCTCCTGACACTGCTGACTTGTTAGTAAACTGCCTCCTGACACTGATGACGTGTTAGTAAACTGCCTCCTGACACTGCTGACTTGTTAGTAAACTGCCTCCTGACACTGCTGACTTGTTAGTAAACTGCCTCCTGACACTGCTGACTTGTTAGTAAACTGCCTCCTGACACTGCTGACTTGTTAGTAAACTGCCTCCTGACACTGCTGACTTCTTAGTAAACTGCCTCCTGACACTGCTGACGTGTTAGTAAACTGCCTCCTGACACTGCTGACTTGTTAGTAAACTGCCTCCTGACACTGCTGACTTGTTAGTAAACTGCCTCCTGACACTGCTGACTTGTTAGTAAACTGCCTCCTGACACTGCTGACTGTTAGTAAACTGCCTCCCTGACACTGCTGACTTGTTAGTAAACTGTCTCCTGACACTGCTGACTTGTTAGTAAACTGCCTCCTGACACTGCTGATTAGCTAGTAAACTGCCTCCTAACACTGCTGACTTGTTAGTAAATTGCCTCCTGACACTGCTGATTAGCTAGTAAACTGCCTCCTGACACTGCTGATTAGTTAGTAAACTGCCTCCTGACACTGCTGACTTGTTAGTAAACTGCCTCCTGACACTGCTGACTTGTTAGTAAACTGCCTCCTGACACTGCTGACTTGTTAGTAAACTGCCTCCTGACACTGCTGATTAGCTAGTAAACTGCCTCCTGACACTGCTGATTAGTTAGTAAACTGCCTCCTGACACTGCTGATTAGTTAGTAAACTGCCTCCTGACACTGCTATCTTGTTTGAAAACTGCCTCCTGACACTGCTGATTAGTAAACTGCCTCCTGACACTGCTGATTAGCTAGTAAACTGCCTCCTGACACTGCTGATTAGTTAGTAAACTGCCTCCTGACACTGCTGACTTGTTAGTAAACTGCCTCCTGACACTGCTGACTTGTTAGTAAACTGCCTCCTGACACTGCTGACTTGTTAGTAAACTGCCTCCTGACACTGCTGATTAGCTAGTAAACTGCCTCCTGACACTGCTGATTAGTTAGTAAACTGCCTCCTGACACTGCTGATTAGTTAGTAAACTGCCTCCTGACACTGCTATCTTGTTTGAAAACTGCCTCCTGACACTGCTGATTAGTAAACTGCCTCCTGACACTGCTGATTAGCTAGTAAACTGCCTCCTGACACTGGTGGTACTCAGTACTGGTGATGTGTAGTGCTCAGTATTGGGACTGGAAGGAATGTAGGGAGTGCTGGAGAAAGTGAAGATGTATACGGAATCCTTGTGTACACACACACACACACACACACACACACACACACACACACACACACACACACACACACACACACTCACACACACACACACACACACACACACACACACACACACACACACACACACACACACACACACACACACACACACACACACCACACACACACACACACACACACACACACCTTAATAAGGAATCGTTCAAGACACTGTACACTGTGTATGTTAGGCCCATACTGGAGTATGCAGCACCAGTCTGGAACCCACACCTGGTCAAGCACGTCAAGAAGTTAGAGAAAGTACAAAGGTTTGCAACAAGGCTAGTCCCAGAGCTCAGGGGAATGTCGTACGAGGAAAGGTTGAGGGAAATCGGACTGACGACACTGGAGGACAGAAGGGTCAGGGGAGACATGATAACGACATACAAGATACTGCGGGGAATACACAAGGTGGACAGAGATAGGATGTTCCAGAGAGGGGACACAGAAACAAGGGGTCACAACTGGAAGCTGATGACTCAGACGAGTCACAGGGACGTTAGGAAGTATTTCTTCAGTCATAGAGTTGTCAGCAAGTGGAATAGCATAGCAAGTGAAGTAGTGGAGGCAGGAACCATACAGAGTTTTAAGAAGAGGTATGACAAAGCTCAGGAAGCAGAGAGAGAGAGGACCCAGTAGCGATCAGTGAAGAGGCGGGGCCAGGAGCTGAGTCTCGACCCCTGCAACCACAATTAGGTGAGTACAATTAGGTGAGTACACACACACACACATACACGCACACACACACACACACACACACACACACACACACACACACACACACACACACACACACACACACACACACACACACACAGAGTAGTCAGGAAGTGGAATAGATTGGGAAGCGAAGTAGTGGAGGCAGGATCCATACATAGCTTTAAGCAGAGGTATGATAAAGCTCACGGTACAGGGAGAGGGACCTAGTAGCGACCAGTGAAGAGGCGGGGCCAGGAGCTTGGGCTCGACCCCTGCAACCTCAGCTAGGTGAATACAACTAGGTGAGTACTCACACACACACACACACACACACACACACACACACACACACACACACACACACACACACACACATACACACACACACACACACATACACACAGACCTCACTCAAGGAAAAGGATCTTGGGGTGAGTATAACACCCAACACATCTCCTGAGGCGCACATCAACCAAATAACTGTTGCAGCATATGGGCACCTAGCAAACCTACGAACAGAATTCCGACACCTCAGTAAGGAGTCATTCAAGAACCTGTACACCGTGTACGTCAGGTCCATATTGGAGTATGCAGCACCAGTATGGAAACCACACCTGGTCAAGCATATCAAGAAATTAGAGAAAGTGCAGAGGTTTGAAACTAGACTAGTCCGGAGCTAAGGGGAATGTCCTACGAGGAGAGGTTAAGGGAAATCAATTTGACAACACTGGAGGACAGGAGGGACATGATAACGAGGTACAAAATACTGAAAGGAAATGATATGGTGCACTGGGACGGATTGTTTCAGAGATGTGACAGAACAACAAGGGGACACAACAACAAGGGGACACAACAACAAGGGGACACAGCAACAAGGGGACACAACAACAAGGGGACACAACAACAAGGGGACACAAACAAAAAGGGGGACCAACAACAAGGGGACACAACAACAAGGGGAACAGAAACAAGGGACACAACAACAAGGGTCACAACAACAAGGGGCCCACAGCAAAAAGGGGGACACAACAACAAGGGTCCACAACAACAAGGGGACAAAAACAACAAGGGACACAACAACAAGGGGACACAACAACAAGGGGACACAACAACAAGGGGACACAACAACAAGGGGACACAACAACAAGGGGACACAACAACAAGGGGTCACAACAACAAGGGGACACAACAACAAGGGGACACAACAACAAGGGACACAACAACAAGGGGAACACAACAACAAGGGGACACAACAACAAGGGGACACAACAACAAGGGGACAAAACAACAAGGGACACAACAACAAGGGGAACACAACAACAAGGGGACACAGCAACAAGGGGACACAACAACAAGGGACACAACAACAAGGGGACACAACAAACAAGAGACACAGCAACAAGGGGACACAACAAAAAGGGGACACAGCAAAAAAGGGGGACAAACAACAAGGGGAACACAACAACAAGAGGACACAGCAACAAGGGGACACAACAACAAGGGACACAACAACAAGGGGACACAGCAACAAGGGACACAACAACAAGGGGACACAGCAAAAAGGGGGACACAACAACAAGGGGACACAACAACAAGGGAACACAACAACAAGGGGAAACACAGCAACAAGGGGACACAACAAAAAGGGGGAAACACAGCAAAAAGGGGGACACAACAACAATGGGACA